AGTATTGAATATACCCTGGACTGTCAAGAGAACAAACAGGTTCGTCCTGGAGAGGGTGAAACCAGGCTGCTCCTTGAAGGGAAGGATTCTGAAGCTTTGTCTGACATACTTTGTTGCCTGTAGGGACCGGTATCATGCTTGGAAGGGTGGAGGGACAGCTCAAGAAAGGAAGACCCTTGATAAGATGGACTGACTGTGACTGGGTTAACAGGAATAGATATGTCAGAGACAGTAAGCTTGGCTTAAGATAGAGCAGGGTTCAGAGCTCTTGTACACAGGCTTACTGTGAGTTGCAAGCAACTCAACGGCACAAAACAACAGCAATAGCCAAAGAGTAGAAACAACCCACATGTCTTTCAGTTGATGAGTGGATAAACAAAAGCCAGTGGAAGATTGTTCTGTAAATAAAGAATGAAACAGGACATATTATAACAGGATGAACCCTAAAAACATTATGCTAATAAGCATCACATGGTGTAAAAGCCCCTTTATATGTAAAATCTAAAATAGACAAACCTATAGACATAGAAAGTAGGTTAGAGGTACCCAAGGCTGGAATTGCGTTGGGAAAATCTGCTATCAGGGCTCTCTCCAGAGTACTGAAGAGCAGTGATGCCAGTTTAAAGACACTAAATTGTGCCTAATCCAAGCTTTGTTCTTCTCAATTGCTTGCTATGCATCTGAAGTTGGACAGTGACTAAGGATGACAAAAGAAGAATCTATGCTTTTGAGTTGCGGTGTTAGAGAACAGTACTCAATATGCCATGGACTGACAAGAAGACACACAGATTATGTCTTGGAGAAAGTGAAACCTTAGTGCTTCTTGGAGGCAAGGATGGTGAAAGAAGCTTCATCTCATACTTTGGACACATTTTAGGAGGGACTGATCCTAGGAGAAGGATATCATGCTTCGACTGGTCAGCGTAAGAGAGGAAGAACCTCAACAAGATGGATTGACACAGTGACTGTAACAATGGGCTCAAGTGTATTAGAGATGATGAGGATGCAAGCTAGGTGAGGTTCATAGGGCCACCATGACTCAGTTGGCTCAATGGCGCTAACAACAACAAAACTCAGGTAAATCTGTCTTGATGGAAATGCAACCAGAGTGTTCTTCGAAGACAATAGTGAAGCTTCATCTCATGTACTTTAGACATATTTTCAGGAGGAAACCAGTCCTTGGAGAGAGAAATCATGATGGGAAGGAGGGGAGGACCTTCAGTGAGATGCATTGACACAATGACCACCACAGTGGGATGGGACAGGATAGAGTACGGTTCAGATCAGTTATTCAGAAGGTTGCTGTGAGTTGTAGTTGACTTGATGACACCTAAAAACAATAATGTTGAGAGATTGATTTATTAGAATTTTCACCTTAATGTTTTCAGCTATGAGTCAGTTACTAACTGTATTGGAACGCCACATGTTCATTCAGAAAAAGGGTGAGTATGAACTAAAACCCACTGTCCACTGTCATTGAACTGATCCTAACTCATAGTGACACTTTGGACAGTTTTCCAAGGGTGTAAAATCTTTGCAGAAGCAGAATGTCTCACGTCTTTCTCCCAAGGAGAGTCTGGTCACTTTGACCAAGTGACCTTTCAGTTCAAAACTCAATTCAGGGTTCCAATTAATGCTTAAATATAAAGTGAAATGGTACTACAAATGGTACTACATTGAGACTGTCTTAAACTTTTCCCATATTGTAGTATGACATGTATCTTAATTTAGAAATAAAGCTCCATTTTCTTCATCTAGTACTTGGCTGCTGAAGTTGTCCAAGGGAGAGGTCCAGGTGAGATTTCTTATTAATGAGTTCTTAATAAGACGTGTCTGTTTGTTCTCGTGATAGTCCATGGGATATTCAGTACTATTCTCCAACACTACAACTCAAAGACATAGGTTCTCCTTTTTTTTTGTCACTCTTAGATAATTGTCCAACTTTCAGATTCATATTGTTGTTGTTGTTATGTGCCGTCGAGTCGCCTGCGACTCATAGCGACCCTATGTACAAC